TGGCCATGTGTTTTGAGAATATCTGCCTGTCCTCAAGTTGAACAGGTTATACATTCTAAACTTCCTTCACCTATGTGAGGGAAGAAGCTCTCTCTTCCAGATAACCTTTTTAAAAATCTTACTGTAAAATGTAATATATGCATGTGGTTTCAAAAAGGTCAAGAGTACAAAATGATATACACGTAAGAATCAGTCTCCCTCCCACCCTAAGCCCCCAGTACGTCAGCTCCCCAACCACAGAGTCAACCATAATAAACCAGTTCCTTATGCATCTTTCCAGATATATTCTAGGTACATAAAAGTGTATTTTCATATTTTAATACATATAGGAACATTTTTCCTGCTTTTCTAGTAAATAATACATCTTAGAGAACAAGATATTTGCTACTAATGCAGCTATCTTATTTTTTTCTTTCATCTTATTTTTTACCTTTTTTAAACATCTACATATTATTCTTGATATAAATACAGCACCAATCATTTAACTAGATATCTTCTGACAGAAACTTAAGCTATTTCAGTTTTTTGCTATTATAAACTTCTATGTACTTACTGAGTTTTATTTCTTTTTATGAGGCAGAAAATCATTTTGCCTCTTAGACAGGGGAGCCACAAAGACAATCTTGATGGTCTAGTATAAAAATACATGGAGGCCTGGCATGGTGGCTCATGCCTGTAATCCCAGTACTTTGGGAGACAGAAGGATTACCCAAGACCAGGAGTTGCAGACCAGCCTGAGAAGCATAGTGAGACCCTATCTCTTAAAAAAAAAAAAAAAAAAAGTCAGGTGTGGTAATGTAGCCAGAATTTCTGTGTCTGGTCCTTGATCCCAGGATTCAAAGAATGAAACCATGGACTGTGTGAGTAAGCAAAAGGACAGAGTTTATTGATAGAAAGATAAAGAGAGAGATTAAAAAACCTCCACAGTGGTGAAGGGGGGACCCAAATGGGAAGCCCATGTGGGCCTTCTGTCTGGGGCAATGGTTCTCAACCTTCCTAATGCCACGGCCCTTTAATGCAGTTCCTGTAGGTCGCGACCCACAGGTTGAGAACCACTGGTCTAGGGGTTTATATACTATTTTCTTATCTTAGAGTCCAGAATGTATGTCCAGAACACATCACAATTGGCCAGGAGACCACAGGCAGAAAATAATCCTAAAATTAGGAAAGGAATGTGGTCCTTGCAGTCCTTGCTCCAAGCGAAGTAGTAGGGTATGTGTTCCCTACTCTAGGAGGAACCACCCAGATGAGATATTAATCAGGTGCTTTTTTCATGACCTTGCTTGGGCCCAGAGAATATGACCTGGAAAGGGCCTGTTTATGCCTAGAAATGATTGTTTGATGAGATTGATTTCTAAGCTCACCCAGGCCTAGAAAATAGGGGTCCCTGTTTAGCTTTGAAGGGGGAAACCCTGTATCAGGGACAGGTGTCACACCCCTGTACCTGTAATCCCAGCTATTTGGGAGGCTAAGACAAGAGGATTACTTGAGTCCAGGAGTTTGAGGTTGCAGTGAGTGAGCTATTATAACACCAAATGACATCATTGCACTCCAGCCTGGGTGACAGAGACCTCGTTTAAATAAATAAAAATAAAATCCAAAAAGAAAAAAATCAAAACAGGGAAAGGATTGGGGAACTTGCATTCCAGTCCTGGATCAACCACTATCACCCTTTGAATGCAGACACGAATCACCATCTCTCTGTGTGACTTAAGTTCCTTGTTTGATAGGTAGCAGTAATTGTACCTGCTTTAAATTGCCTCACGAGGGCATCCTGAGACTCAAATGAGGTAATGTACATAAAAGCTTGTGAGCATCATGCTAATATACAAGTCTCTCATATGGTTATTTGTCAAACTTACAATTGATACATCACTCTGTGAATGCCCGTCAATCTCCAATATGATGTCTGTTACACCTACTACCCTTCTAAATGAAGCTGACTTACCTGCAATGCCAACTGATAGATCACCCAAGGCTACTATGCGCTGTTCCCTATAACCCTGTCCTCCCCTTCCTCCCACTTCGCTGCAGAATGGACTGGGCTGGGCAACTTTCCCATCAGCCCTATGGCCGGAATGAAAAGCTCTGACCTAGCAGAGATAGGCCAGCTCATTCTGATTCTTGCCCTTAGAAAGGTCTTCTAGGAATAATGAGTGACTTTGACAGTTAGGGAAAACAACACAGAAGGTACAGGGAGAGGCCATATAGTCAGGGTTAGGAAGTCCATCAGAAGCTGAAGTTATGAGTAAGCTGAAATGGGGAGGCAGCAAAAACCTTGTGTGCAGTGAAGCTACAGGACAGGAAAAAAGTGAGAAGGGGTGTTAATGAGAAGGGAGAAGACATAGAAACACCAGCATCAGCCAAGTTCTAATAGTAAGCAAGCACATCAGCTCTGACTACTGGTCCCAGAACTGCCCTGAGTCCAGCACAGACACATGGCTTTACTGCAGACTCCTTTCTCTGAGCTCAGAGGAGGAGGTGAGGCTCTTTTTCCACTGCTGCCCATGCCAGACCAACCCAAAGCTCAGGAGGCCTATCTCGCCAACCCTAAAGGACAGTTTGTGATCATCTTCTCTAGGGACAGGAAAATGAGAATGCTAGGTCACCCTCCCAGGGAAAGGGCAGGGTGGGGAAGGGCAGAGGGTAGAAATGGAGCAGCAGTGAGAAATCATCATCAGTGAAGCATGCTCCCACTCACCCAAATACTACCCACCCTCCACGTCACACCTTCCTCCAAACCTTCCCATAATTGCACTGACCTCTTGACTCCCAGGGGACCTGGCCCAATTGGCCCCAGTTCTTTATCCTCTGTATCCCCCTTTGATCCTGTGTCTTTGCAGTTCCTCCCATTAAAGGGGAAGAGTACATTTCCCATACTTTGAGTCTGTCTGGGCTTGGCTATGTGACTGTCTCTGGTTAATAGTATAAGACAGAAGTGACAGTGTGTCAGTTCCAAGGTCTTGTGTGCTTTTTCCATCGCCATGAGAGAAGTATGTCCACGCTAGCTCACTGTTTTCAAAAAGATGACACTCCTCTGAAACAAAGCTACCCTAATTACTTGGTCATATATAATTGTTTCTTTGGGCAAATGAAAACATAGGATGCCCAGTGAAATTTAAATTTCAGATAAAAATTGGATTTTTTGTTTTACTAGAAATGCATCCCATGTAATTTTTTAGAACAAATTTAAGCTAAAAATTATTTATCTAAAATTCAGATTTAACTGGGAATTCTATATGTATCTGGCAATCTGCTCCTGGGGCTCGAGGCTGGATAGACAACTTCCCATGAGATAACTAACCGTGGTGACAGAAATCACATGGTCCCCACCCAATGAACTGGGAAAGCCACAGTTCATTTAAAGGTTTGCAAGAAAGACAGAAGATAAACCTTGAGCACTCTCTTCTGTCTAGCGACAAACTTACCCATTCGAGTAATAATGATGATAACTATTATTTGCTTGGTCCCTGTATGAGCAGGGAGTAGTTTAAACACTCTTATTTTCACATCAGTGCTGCAACATAAAGAGGGTATAGCTTTATCCCATTTACAAATGAGGACCCCAAGCCTCAGATAGGTAAAATAACCTTCCTTTGGTCACACAGCTAGAAAGAAGAGCAAAGCTAAAATTCATATGCAGCCTTTCTTTTTCCATAACACAAACCTGCCTTCAAATAACAAAATGGAAGATGGTAAACTATATTCCCAGCTCTCCAATCTCTTCGCTGCTCCCCTCAACCCACTGGGGAGGATGGGGTTGCATTCATGGGATACGGTCGCCATAGCACAGTATTACTGAGCGGGTGGCTTACACAACAAACTTCATTTTCTCACAGTTCTGAAGGCTAAACATTGGAGAGCAAGGTGACAGCAGAGTGGTTCCTTCAGAGAGCTGAGCGAGAATGATCTAGTCCAGGTCTGTGATGGTTAATTTTCTGTGCCAACATCAATGGGCTATTGGCTGCCCAGATATCTGCTTATACTTCATTTCTGTCTTTGAGGGTATTCTGGACAAGATTAGCATTTGAATCATTGCAGTAGGTAAAGTAGATTTCCCCCCTTTCCAGTGTGGATGGGTCATGTTCCATCTGGAAACAGTCTGAATAGAACAGAAAGGCAGAAGGTTGAACTGATTCTCTCCACCTGACTACAGTGAGTGAGCCATCAGTCTCCTCCTGTCCTTGCCCCAGGACTTAAACCACTGGTGCTCCTGGGTCCCCAGCTTGCAGACAGGAGTTCTTAGAATTTCTCAGCCTTCATAATTGTGTGTCAACTCCTCATATTATATATAATACATATAGGTATACATACACATACATATACAGATGTCAACTCCTCATAATGAATATTTTATATATTATACACACACGCACACACACGCGCACACACACACCCTGGTTCTGTTTCTCTGGAGAACCCTGGCTAATCCAAAGTCCCCTTGGTTTGTAGATAGCCATTTTCTCCTGTATCTTCACATCTTCTCTCTGTACATGTCTAGGTTCAAATTTCTTCTCAGAGTACCCTTCAAATTGGATTAGCACCCATCCTAATGACCTCATTTTAACTTAATCACCATTATAAAGACCTTATCTCCAAATAAGGTCACATTCTGAGGTAGCAGGGGTTTGGACTCCAACACATGAACTTGGAAAAGGATGTGGTTCAGCCCATAACAGGGTTTATGGAAGTAATTGTGACTCATCCCAATATAATCTTCATTTAAAAGAGTAACCCCAAAGAACAGATTCCAGATGATGACATTCTAGATTTCAAGTGGTAGAATTTTAGTTCTCAAAGCAATCCATTAGGGGTGGGAAAGGCCCCTTCTGCACTTCTTAATAATGGCAGCTGGAAGATGTCACACCCTCCACCTAAGGGGCCCTAGCAACTGGTACAATGTGGGTCATTGTGAGGACAGGGGATTGTGATGGTAGCCAGGCTATGGAATCTGGTGAGGCCAAATGTTGGTACTTCAAAGATGTCCTTTGGCCCCATTAGCAGCAGTGTGGTTTTCTAGATGGCAACAGAGGAGAGGGAGATCATGGAAGCCCGGGGGGCCGGAGAAAGCTGCCAGACCTTCCCCAAGATGGTGCTTGGTGACTCCATGTCTGAAGGGAAGCCAAGGGCTTCTTTGGTAAGGGGGATATCCCATCTCACTGCCCCAGTGAGGGAAGAGAGGTACTCTAGGGACATGTGACTGGAGCTGAATGCTGAGGTTCCAGAGAGCTGGCAAGAAGCACAGGTAACACATACCCCATTCCCATAACTGGCACTCAGCTGTCACCAGGAACCAGGTAGCCCTTCATGAAGTCACTAGAAGCTGGCTTTGATCTCATCCATCTGCGGCTCTTTTGGGGGCCCTTCCTTCCTCCATAGATGGGACCTGGCTTCCCCCTGCCCCCATAGCCCACTTTCTGGGCCCCGTTGGCTTAGGCTCTCTCAGTGCAGACCTGGGCATTCTTCTTCCCTCTGCAGCTCCCAGATCTGATATCTAATCCCAAAGTTGGGGGTGGGGAATTACCTCCTTGGCGATTTGAAAATCTCTAGGAAGACAGACATTCACCTTGACTCCCCACGCCTCCGCTTGCAACTTCCAGGCACCCTTAATGTTAGCGCCCTCTCCTTCTTAACCCTCAGGTTCTGACAGCTCTGGGTAAGTGTGCTTCTGATAAGAACTCAGTCTAGATCTTTACAATTCAAGACACTCTTTCAAACACCCCCATCATTGTGACCGAGGCTGTGGGAGTGCCATGGGTGGGGGGCTGCCCTACCCTGATGCTTCACTGTTCCCCCCACCGCTTCCTGCCCCTGCCCCAGGAGGCACAGTCCCCGAAGCCAGACTCCTCCTATGACCACTTGGAGGAAATGGAAACTTGTGAGGACGGAGGCTACACAGGGCCACCCAAGTCGCTGTCCCCCGCGGCCGGCCCCACCACCAAGGGCCAGGCGGGTGACGGACCGGAACTCCCGGAGTGGCTTCTGACCCCAGGGATAGAACACAACCCTGAGATGGAGCTGGAGAAGATGCGCATGGAGTTCGAGCTCACGCGGCTCCGGTACCTGCACGAGGAGAATGAGCGGCAGCGGCAGCACGAGGAGGTGATGGAGCAGCTGCAGGTGCCGGCGGCCTCACAGCGCCTGGTAGGTGGTGGGAAGGGAAGGGCGTGTGGTGGGAGCCTGTGCCCGCTGTGCCGCTCCCGCGGTTCCCATCCTGGGCCTTAGTGTCCACACGGGCTGTCCTCGCCTGGGTCACAGCTGCTCCAGCCTTAGAGGTCCCCACCACACACAGGGCAACTCTCTTTCCTAGAGCTTCCAAGGTAAGCTGCGATCCCACTCTTTAAGGACAGCTGAGACCAGGAGGGGCCCCAGAAACGCGTTGCCCACACAATGGCCCTTTTGATAGATTAAGGGGAAAGTCCTCGACACCTCTATGACCAAATTTCCACCACTTTCAATTCCGTTTTTTTCTTTAAGAGACAGAATCTCATTCTGTCACCCAGGCTGGAGCTCAGTGACAAGAACACAGCTAGCTGCAGCCTCCCACTCCTGAGCTTAAGGGATCCTCCCATATCAGCCTCCCAAGTAGCTGGAATTACAGGCATTCACCACCATTCAGGGCTTTTTTTTTTTTTCTTCTGTAGAAACAGGGGTCTCCTTATGTTACCCAGGCTGGCCCAGAACTCCTGGGCTGAAGCCTCTTCCTACCTTGGCCTCCAAAAGTGCTAGGATTACAGGTGTGCGCCACTGGGCCCAGTACTGCAGGTCTCAAAATGTGGTGCTGGAGACAACACCTTAAATCCCCCTACAGAGGCTGTTCACAGGCTCCTCAGCACACAACAGCCTTCAAGTCAGGGCCTCAAGCAGTCCTCCCATCTCAGCCTCCTGAGTAGCTGAGATTACAGGCACATGCCAACACACAGCCTTGACCAGCAGATCATGACAGAACTATCACCTCGCCATCAGGTCTACCTTCACTCTGTTGGGTCGCACTGCCTTGTAGTCAACTGTAAGAGCTGAGCCATCTTTTCACAAGAAATGTACCACTCTCCTAATCTGTACTGATGGGCATAGGAATTCTTAGAGATTAAATGGGATGTGAACTTAGCTCAGTGGTCAGGCCATCATAAGCATTCAATAGTGGAAGATATTATTGTGAAAGCCATGTTGCCTAGGCTTTAAAGTTAGGCAGACCTGGGTAGAAATCCTGGTTTTGCCATCTGTAAGCTATGCAGTGTTGAACAAGTTACTTTCTTAGTCTTTGAGCTCTGGGTGTTGCTCATCCATGAGGTCATTCCTACACCTCATAGGATTGTCACGGATTAAATGAGAGAATGCATGTGCGGCACTTTGCAATGAGCCCAGCGCATTAGGTAAGCACTCAATAAATGTTGGCTATCACCGTTTTTATGTACTCAGGCAATTCACTTCTTAACCCAAATGCAGCAGCTTACGTTTATCACTTTTTAGTTTTATTAGGATGTAATATATTAGCTATGCTTCCCAGCTCTGAGTCATTCTCAATTCTGAGAAGCTTGCCTTCTGTTTTTATTCAAGTCATTGCTACAATTGTTGAACAGGATATGACCTAAAATAAATACCACGGACAGATCTCCCTACAGGTTAGCAATGTTCCATTAATCAGAATGCCTGAGTTACATTTTATCCAGCTCACATTTCTTCACCTTATCCAAAAACTCATCCTGAGACACGTCAAATGGTTTCCCAGAATTAAAATATTATGCTACCTATAGAATTTGCCAAATAGACTGGTCAATTTTTTTTTCTAAAGTAAATAGGCTGGGTTTTGCATGATTTGTTCTTAATGAACACATGAGTGTCACAGTTTTTTTTCTTGCTCATAAAATACCTACTTAATTATACATTGAATGATTTCAACTGAGCCAACTCAGGCTTATTGAACTGAGATTACCAGAGCCTTTTCCCCCTTCTTTTTGAAAATCTAGAAAATATTTGCCTGTATTTAAGATTCTGGCACACTTTTTTTTTTTTTTTTCAGTTTTTGGCTGGGGCTGAGTTTGAACCCACCACTTCTGGCATGTGGGGCCAGTGCCCTACTCCTTGAGCCACAGATGCCACCCACACTTAATTTTTTTTTTTTTTCCAAACAGAGTCTCACTATGTCGCCCTCAGTAGAGTGCTGTGGCTTCACAGCTTACAACAACCTCAAACTCTTGGGCTTAAGCGATTCTATTGCCTCAGCCTCCCAGGTAGCTGGGACTACAGGCGCCTGCCACAATGCCTGGCTATTGTTTTGTTGCATTTGTTTAGTTAGCCCAGGCTGGGTTCAAAACCACCACCCTCAGTGCATGTGGCTGGCATGCACATGGTAACCACTGTGCTACAGGCGCTAACCTGACTTCTTAATATTTTTGAATTTTCTGAGGTTTCATTTCCAAACTTGTGGTTTTTCGCAGGATCCCAGGACAAAATGTCACAAGTTGGAGCCTGAAACTGTTTAAAGCAGATATGGTATTATACTTGGCCTTTGGTCTGTATCTCCTCCTAACCATATCTGTTTCCCTTTTTAGACCAAAAAATCTTTCTCCTTGCTGGATGAGCTAGAAATCCTTGGTGTATAGTCCTATCTATCTCTGTCTACTGCTGAAAAGGTAGACTATTGAAAGTATTTTGAAAAGTCTAGAAGGATTAGCAAATTCATAGTTTGTCATCAAAATCACAAAGATCACACACCAGCATTTTTTCAAACTGAAAACATGTAGACTGCAAAAAGGTGTCAGAGTCCAGAGGGCCAGTGCCATACTGAGCCTGCAGGGAACCATTGTCGGTCCAGCCTGCCACTCCCATTAGAACACTGGGTTGCTTCCTCTGGTCTTTCAGCCTTCCTTCCTATTCATTTTAAAGACAGCATCAGTGGAGTCACTTTCTGCCCTCTGGATTTTATTTAGTGACTCTCACACTGTATATAGCTTTTTCAATGTGTCCAATCCACAGCCTTTGGTAATAGTTTACAAAAGTGCTTTACTTTTTATACATTTATTAAAAGGTGAGGATCTGACTTGATTTTGAAGCTCCCCTTCTCTTTTTCTGGGTGGGTGGTTAGATAGATGGACAGATTTTCATTGTATTGAAAATACTACTACTGAGTATGTTTCTAGCTTGTTTAGGACATCAAGGTCCCTGCCAACTTGCTATTACCAAAAATGTGGCATGATTTTTAAAAAATATAGAATAACCCAAGGGTGATGACTTCTTAACTATGGGTCAAAATAGTTATATCACCTTTTAATGCTTTCTACAGTTAAAATGAGATCTGTCAGACCCTAGTTATACAGATTCCAGAAAAGAGTAACTTGCAAGCAGAATCAGCCAGACAACTCAAGCTACTTTCCCCTAGCCCAGTATTACGAAGGTTTAGGGAGGCCCTAACACACATCTCTCAGCACCTGCCTCCAGGAGAGACCAAATTCTGGACTGAAGGACAATGGACTGACCCAGGTAATACAAACCACAACTCAGGGAGTCATTTGTACCCAAGGGACACCCTCTGATTATGTCATTGTCTAGAAAACCAGGTTGTATATCAGGGCAAACTGTCCCAAGAACCCTCCCAAGATCCAGCATCCAGCTCTGGGGATCTTGGGATGAGAGAGAGTGTAACTCCAGGATGGGGCATGAAGAGAAAGACAGACATTGGCCCAGTGCCCCAGTCAGAAAGAGAAGAAGGTGGTTCAAAAGTTAAAAAGAATGAGTTCCCCTTATTTTCTAGTTACCTTACTAGGAATTTTTTATACATTGTATCACTCTTCCTGTGAGCTTGTGAAGTGGCCATCATTACCCTTTCCTTAGGTGAGGACAAGGACCTTCCCAAGGTTACATTCAGGCAGGGACAGAACAAGACTGAACACAGATCTGCCTGGTACCAAGCCTAGTGTCGCCAGCTCCACCGTCTTCTCTCCCCCACAGTTCTCGGGAGGCTTCCAGGACCTCCTGCTGCCCCAGAACCAGTTTACCATGTTCCTGTACTGCTTCATCTTTATTCACATAATCTATGTCACCAAGGAGATGGTCTTCTTTCTCTTCTCCAAGCACTACCTGTTCTGCATTGCGGCTATTTTGCTCTGTCTGATTAAAACCTTCTGGTCATACTTCCAAGTGCCTTTGCTGTCTCCATCACTGCGAAACCCCTTCCCACCCTCCCCCATGATAGAGTGTGATCAGTTATTAAGACATGATCCGAATTGGCCCCAGCCTCCCTGGCACTGCATCTGCTCATATGTGCCTGCCTCCCATCAGCCTGCTCTTCTGAAGGGCTCTAGTGTCAGCCACTCACATTTGCACCGGAAGAAATGTGTTCAGGCCTCTTGTTCAGAGCCTGAGTTTTCACTGTGAATTACTTTATCTCCTGAGAGGAGGCTTTGAGAAGTTAGTGGACTACAGAGTTGTATATGGGGAAGGGGGAGTTTGGAAGGACTTTCCAGATTCACACCATAACCACTGCATCTATTCACATTTGTAGATCTTCCCTGAGGTGTGGGAAGCCTACACACAGCTTATGAGTAGCCCCCTGACCAGAAAAGGATGTCCATGTTCCAATCCCCAGAATCATGAACATGTTGTCTTGTACAGCAAAAGACTCTGAGATCTGACTGAGTTAGTGACCTGAGTGGGGGGTATGATCCTGGCTATTTCAGGTGTAATCACAGGGTTCTTATAAAAGGGAGGCAAGAAGATGAGAGAGAGGACATGTGACCATGGAAACACATGGCAAAGTGACATGGGGGTACAAGTCAAGGAGTATGGGTGGCCTCCAGGAGATAGACAAAGCAAGACTGTAGAACCTCTTCTGGGGCCTCCAGAAGAACCCTGGCCCTGCCAGCCCACTTTAGATGTCTGACCTCCAGAACTATAAGAGAATAAGTCTGTGTTGTTTTAAGCCACTAAGTTTGTAGTAATTTGTTATAGCAGGAATAAGACATTAATACAGGAGCCAAAATTCCCAAGCTCTGTCTAGCTGTGCCAACATGTTAGCACATACCAGGCCACTGGTAAAGTTTCCTTTAGCACTCGGCCTGAGCAGAACTGAACACAGCCGGTCATACCAGTGCTCAGGGTCCACCTTCAAACAATCTATGATCAAAAAAGAGATGGGCTTGGCACCCATAGCTCAGTGAGTAGGGCACTGCCCACATATACTGGGGCTGGCAGGTTCAAACCCAGCCTAGGCCTGCCAAATAGCAATGACAACTACAACAACAAAAAAAATAGCCAGATGTTATGGCAGGTGCCTATAGTCCCAGCTACTTAGGAGGCTAAGGCAATAGAATTGTTTAAGCCCAAGAGTTTGAGGTTGCTGTGAGCAGTGATGCCATGGTACTTTTCCAACAGCAAGATAGACTCTGTCTCAATAAATAAATAAATAAATGTGCTGACTTCCAGGTAGGCCAGGGCAGACCAATCAGAAACTAGTGGACAAAGGGCATCCCTGTCACTGAGCAGAGCATGCTTTGGGTGAGGCAGGTAAAGGCATACTCCAGAGGACCATAGGGAAGGAGGAATTCAATGCCTTGATGGGGCCCATAGGAAGTCACCAATACTAGAAAAGGGAGAAGAGGAAAAAAATTCAGCACACACCTCCCCACCAGCCCAAGCACACAGACTCACAAAAATACAGAAAAGCTAAGCCAGAAACAAACACGCCAACTTCACTCACTGGGAGATAGGAAGCAGATAAGCAGTTGTCCACGACAGAGATGTTCACCACCCAGCACAGAAGCAGGCAGCAACAACAGTAGGTACGGACTTGAACGCTAGAGGGCTCACAAGCTGGCAGACGAAGCTGCCCAGTGAGTATATAACAAAGGAGTTCAACTCCCCCGTCCCCAGCACCCAACCCCTTCTCCAACACACACTCCTTGCAGATTATTGTCAGCTGCTCTGGGCCCCCCAGCCCAGCCCAGCAATGACGGCTGGCTAAGCCGCAGGGGAGTTTACTCAGCGAGAATGTACCAAACTGCACGAGGCTGGTCACAGCTGTTCAATCAATCAAGGCTTTATTGACCCTTCCTCTTCCCCGGCATAGGGCTCTGCCATAAGAGGAACAAGAGAGTTTCTGTCTTGTTGAACTCTGAATGGTGCTCAGTGAAACCATGTGGAAAAAACGCTGCCTGGGGACTTCCATGTCAGTACACATTACTATGCCATTTAAGTCCATGGTGACTTCTAATTTTCCACCCAATTCAATACATCCATCCCCATTTATAGCCGCATGTGGCAGGTACTTAACTTAGACGTGATAAAACTGTCATTTCTCATTAAACATTCAAGTTGGGACTCTGGGCTATGGTCACATCTCACTATTGTCTTATTTGATCTGGGTTTCCAGCATGGGATTGAGGTAAGAGAAAGATGAAGATCAGGACCGCAAAAAGTTTAAGGCCCATCTATTTACCTTGTTAGAGCAGGCCGAATTGTGAGTTTGTAAAAAAAATACCAAGTGGTATAAGGTCATTAGCCCATCCTCTTGAGTCTAGGTAAAAACTGGACTTAAATACATTCATTTTCCTTAAAAATCTTCTGAGAAAGACTTAGTTAACTCTTTTGTACAATTAAGTTAGCATCTTGTCTCAACTCTTAGCCAGGGGCATAAAATCTCCCCTCTATCCCTCCTACATATTTGAAGACTAAAGCCAACAGCCTAAGATGTGCCCTCTATGGAGTAACCTAGTTGGAGCCACTCCTCAAACTTAGATCAGGACTTCTAGTTAAAATGAAAAACAGAAAATCAGAAGGCATAGACATGCAAAGGATAGGAAAAAGGCACAGCTGAGTAGTTACCAATGAGGCAAAAAGCCAACAACCACCTCTCGGGCACCAATGCCAAGGTGCCAGGCACCACACTAAATGTTTACAGAGGCTATCTTCACCAAAACCCCAGGAGGCAGAAATGTGTATGGCCTCTATTCCACAGATGGGAATACTGAGGTTCAAAGAAGTTAAATGACTTACCCAAGGTCATCCTGAAACACGTGCACTTTCCATGTTGCCATGCTCCCAGGAGCCTGCCTTGGAGGATCTCCCAACTTTGCTGGTGAGATGAGTTTAACGTAGCTGAAAATGTAAAGAACCTATCAGCATGTAAGCCTCAGTTATAAAGCAGGTGGAAGGAGAGCTTTTGGGGGCCCAGGGAAAAGGCTTCTGAAATATTCGGTCTCTAAGGATAGGCAAGCCCGGACCAGGTGGAAATGAGGAGGGATAACTCGCACAAACAGAGGCCAAGGTAGGAGTGTATGATCTATATTCAGGAGAAGAGGGTCACTTTTGCTCCAGTGAATGGTAGCAAAGATAAAACAGGCCTGGAAAATTGTTTGGGGACCAAGTTTTATAGTCTTGGTCTGAAGAATATAAATGTTTTCCCTTGGGAAACAGGGACTATTTTAAAAGATTGTAGAGTGAGATAATAACAAAGGAAAAAAAAAAGGTAATGAAAGATTCCTTTTCCTTCTAACTTCCGGGGACCATGTTCTGACCTTCACCTGTTTCCATTCCAGAAACATTATTTCTGGGGTCCTGAGTTTGAGGATTGTGTTCACCTATAAAAGAAGCCCAGCCACAGTGGCCTAACCAAATAGAGGTTTATGTTTCTCACATACCAAGAAGTCTCAAGTAGTCAGTCCCCCGCTAGTGAAACTGCTCTAGGAAGTCCCAGAGGGCCCAGCCCATCCTCAGCACACAGCTCTTACCTCACTCCATGGCCTTCAGCCCCATGATCTCCTCATGATAACACAGTTCCAGGTACTTAGCCCCCAATCCAGGTCAGATAAGGTGGAAAAGAAAAGGAGCTGCCATTAAAAAGCTTTCCAAGAAGCCCCACCCACAGACTTCTCCTTACATCTCATTAGTCGGACTAGGTCCCATGGCTGCTTCTAGCTGCAGGGTGTCTGAGGTGCCAATGTCTAAGGCCAGGCACCTGTTCACTTCCCAAGCTGCTGGGGCTATCAGGTGCCGCCTTGAATGGGCAGCCTATAAGAATAGGTAAGCCTGGAACAGGTGAAACCTGTAACCATCCTGGGCCTGGCCCTGCTGCACTCTTCCTAAAGGAAGAGCGCCAAGACCACATATCACAGCAGAAGGTCAGCTGGAGCAGCTTCTTCCCCCAACCCTCTGCAAGAGCACGCCCCTCTGTGCTGGGTGTTCTCAGCAAAGCTGAAGAGGAGGAAGGTTTGATTCTAGCGTCCCTCCCCTTCTGCATCCCAGATCCCATAGAACAGAGTCCAGTGCCAGTCAAGGGGGATCCTATCAGCCCACTGACCCCAAGCTGCTAAAGCCTGTAAACATGTTAAAGGTCCACTCAGTTTCAACCCAATACTGAAGCACTGAGAGTAAATAAAGTCTCAGGCAGGCTTAGGAAGCATCTTTTCTGTTCCCCAATGGAATCTTATGGGTTGCAACCCTGAGCCCAAGGACAAGACAGGAGAGTAGCAGAGAATGCTACAATCTATAGGACGGAAGGGAAGCAGGCTTGGGTCCAAAGGCCATTTCCCTGCCATGGCTGTTTGTAATCCTAGTTTAGCAGGTGACTCTAAGTCGGTTAAGCTTTCTAGGCTTCATTTAGGTGACCTTTAAATTATCTAGACTCTTAACTCAGTGTAAAAACAAAACAACAACACAAAAACCAAAGCCTAGGGTCTGGTCTCAGAAATTCTGATTTAATTGATCTCAGATGGTATCCAGAGGTGATTTACTAGCCTGAAAAGTGCCCGGGTCAATTCTAATGTGCATCCAGGATGGAAAACCCTAGCTCCTCGCTCCTCAGCAAGTGATGCATAGCAGGAGAAGCAGCCAAGACAGTGCCTGGGAAGCCTCTTAGAAGAGCAGTGTGCATCTGGAATCAGATGCATTTTGGCAATACCCCCTAGGGATTCACCTGCACCTCAGAGCCGGGGAAGCCTGCTTTAGGTGATGAGATTCAGTTCAACCTATCCTCTGTGGGGAAGACACTGCTCTTGGCCTGGAGGGTCTTTCCAGGAGGGCTGAAGGGGTAAGAGGAGAGAGAGAAAATTGCTGAGGATGTCGCCCTTAGACGCACTGGGGAAGCCCCAACAACATCTGGCATGGCTGGAGTGGCAGGAGCTTATGCAGGAAGCTGAGCCTGGGAGCAGAGTATCTGCCCTCCCTCCCTCAGGGCTCTTTCACCGGTCCTTGGTTTGAGCTTCTGGGGAACCAAGCGACTTTACCAATGACTTTACCCTATATTCCAGGATTCGTCAGAAAGTTCCAGAATCCCCCCAGGCCTGTGTCTGCCTCTGTCCCTTTTTTGATCTGGCTCCTGTGGGTAGCTTTGGGGAAATCTTGCTAATATACATTCATTCATTATTTAAAAGTTGCCACTGTTCCCTCATGAAGGTTAAGTATGATTAAAAGATGGGATTTTTCCACAGGGCACAGCAGAAAAGCTGCGGCTCCCACATTTTTAAGCTGTTTTGGCCAAGCCTTGTTGCATAATTTAAAGTCTGTGACTTATTTAGATTTAATTAGCCAAAGGAGCAGCAGCTGCAGGTTCATTAGTCAGTATTTATTAAGCACCCTCAGAGGGCTTTGTAGGCTCTTAAGAGCAAGGGGAGGATGGGCTTCGGACTTGCAAATTTCTTGTGCTTAAGTAGGAGGGGATTACAGACAGCGTCAGGAGGTAGGTATCTTTGCTCCTCAAAGGGGTGGCATCAAAAGACTTGGGCTCATTGGGCAAATCCTCACAAAGGCCCTGCTGGCCTGGAGATGTCAGCCCCTCACCGGTTGTAGTGACAATCTGTGTGATAATGAGCTGAATGAGGCTGGTAAGGGAAGTGATTGCTGACCTGAATTTCAAGAACTGGGAGAGGTGGGGAGGATGGGCTCCAGTATTTGTACAAAAGGACAATGCCCAGTCCCTTGTTCAAAAACTATCAAGCATTCAAGGACAGTGACACAGAACATTAAGCCATGCATAGGGTCCCTTCAGTGCTGGGTGGGGAGTCAGCCTTGGAGGTGGATGGAGCAGACTAGGGTCAAGGGGCCTCTCTCCAACCTCACCCTGAGAGAGGCTGTGTCCTGGGCCTCCAGTCCAGCAGGAGGGGGAGCAGGCTCTGAGGCACAGGGCTAACAGAAGCCTCAGGTTCTCCAGCTTGGTGGCATTGCCTCTCCTTCCTCCTGGCCTGTGCCCCTAGCCCAAGTCAGCTGATAATTTTTCTCTGGGCTAGAAAATCCAAAAATAGAAGAAGTCTACACTTTTTACCCCCATTAAACCTCTTGTATCAAATGACACAGTCACTTTGCCTGAAACTTTTCATCAAAGGAGCCTTTGTAAGGTCCTGGGGCAGAAGCAGGCCTTGGCGGACAGCCACCAGGAAGCCAAGCAGAAAGTGCTGAGCAAGGGGGGCCTCCATGCAGCAGCTGGGGGCAGGACAGGGTTTCAGGAGCTTCCCTCCACCCCAGCAAGGGCCAGTGCCAGACACTCACTGCCCTGGGACAGCTCCTCTCTGAGCACCATCTCCACCTTCAGCCCTGGCAACACCAGAGTGGCTAATAGTGTAGCTACATGGGACCACCCTGTGGCTGGGGCCCACAGTGAGTCCACGAGCTCAATCAGTGCTAAAGGAAAAATGAATGACCATGAATGATCGATCAAATGAATGAAAGAAAGAATGCAATAGATAATCCGAGAAATGCTGGGTGAGCTAAAGGGTTCTTCAAAGGCTTCATGAAAAGTGAGATAGGGTGCTCACGTTTACTAAATACCTAGAGTACACTATGCCCTGGTCAAGGCCCTTCATGTCATCCCCCAGCCCTCTAGGAAGGAGCACCCTACTGTACCAGTCTGCTCTGACCGCCTCAACAAAATATCACGGACTGGGCGGCTTAAACAACACAACTTATTTGCTCAGGGTTTAGAGGGCTGAAGTCCAAGGTGCAGACAGACTTGGTTTCTCCTGTATCCTCTCTCCTGGCTTGCAGGTTCTCTCTGTGTCCTCATCTGGTCTTTTCTCTGGGTGGTCATCCCTGGTGTGCCTTTGCATGCCCAACTTCCCTTCTCTTGTGATGACATCGCTCAGAGTGGATTAAGACCTCATTTAAATTTAATCATGTCTTTAAATGCCCTATCTGTGAATAAGGTCACAGTTTAAGGTACCAGGAATTGTAGCTTCAATGTACAAATTTTGAGGGAACATACTCCAACCCCAAACACCCACTGCGCAGTTGTGGTAACAGACTCAGAAAGATTGAGGAATCGTCTGAGCTTCCTCAGCTGCAGTGGCAGAGACCAAGCATGGCAAACAGCTGCAGGTTGCTTTAAAGGAAATAAAGAATTATGCTTTGTCTTGTTTATTTGGGTTTCTGGATAAAGACTTGGAGATGCTTTGATAACATATGCTTTTGTTTTTCGGAAGCTATTCTATGTTCCACTATATGCCTCTCTACATGTGTGTAGCTAGGGGTGGCAACTTCAAAGAGTTTCTGCTTATAAACCTACCCGTTAGTGTAGCCATTCTTGCCTGTCCCCTCACCAAAGCTGAGGAAGAAAATGAGGGGGAACAGATTGGTCCTCACTTGCTGGCTCACCTGCCGTTTCCCTGAATGGCAGCAGCTCCATTCTCAAAGGCCCGGACCCCATCCCATGTCCTCTCCTACAAGCCCCCCGCTCAGGAGAGCGAATCCATAGGCGTCAGCCTGAGGGTCTTCACTCTTGAATCAGCCATGCCTGGCTCTGTTTCTGAAGGCCCTGATGGTGTGGTCTGTCTCGGACCAGAGCAGGTACATGAAAGAAGAGGGAGGTAGTTGGGCCAAAGAGGGAAACCTGGCGGGTCACTCCCCCTGACTTTCACTCTGGGCAATTTCTATATCCTCACATACACAAAGCACCCAGTATTTGAGCTGGCCTGAGTGGGTTCCTAGAAAACGATGATTGGAAGACTCAAAAACATAGTGGATGGTAGAAAGCTCACCTGCTCTCTGGGTATCAGGTGAACTTCAAAGAAACTCCAGATGAAGGAGCTAAATACATCTTTCCCTCTCTCCCCTCTTTCTCCTCTTCTCTCCCTTCTCCCTCTCCCTTTTCCTCTACTCCCCTCTCTCTGTCTCTCCTCCCTCTCTCTCCCTCTATCTCTCTCTGTACCCCACCCCCATCTCCTAATTCTCAAACCGATCAGTTAGGGCCAGGGACAGACTCAGATGCCAGAGGGCCCAGGTGGTCAGGTGCAGCTGTTGGGGAAAGAGAAGCCATAAAGCAGCCTCTACTCACCCCTCCCATCCCACTATGTGGAGACTCAGGCTCCTTGTCCAATTCAAGGGCAGCCAGAAATTCTGACTTTTATGTGATACCTGCTGATTTTTAACTGTGGACCCAATTTTCTTTAGCCACTCTGTGGACCTAACAAAAGTCTGTGGGGCCACCAGCTCACAATCTCTGAACTTGAGATGTTATTTCCTTTATGACGGAGTCTCTGTTTCACTCAGAAATACTCTGGGGGGGTTTCTTTAAACAGAAGACACTCCTAGTACAAAAATAGAATGTGATTCACTCTCTAACAATGTTTAAGCTCAGAAGCAGCAGTAAGGGATGCTTCTTCCCTTCATAAATTGCCTCACCTTGAGGTGTTTCAAGAGACAAATCTCTTAATGCATTTCAAATCAGGTTAAAGTAGCAAAGATCTAATTTTCATACAACTTCTGGAAGGAAGATGGGAATTTAGCTACAGCCTGGATCAAGATTAAGGAAGGTGCAAGAAAGAGGCCTGGGAGCAGGGAAATAGGGTGGGAGAGGGTGAGGCTGGATGCCCAGACGGAGTGATGGGGGACAGACTGGCAAGGGCTTTGTGAAGCTGGCCAGACAAAGAGCAAGTGGGGCCTGGGGACCAGAGTGAGCTGGAAAGGGGAAGAGGAGGGAGCATCATTAGTTGCCATGGTGACAGAGGAACAAGCAAGGGAGAAAGAGTGAGGGGGATGTCAGAGAAGAGCTGTGTTGTGCTGCTGCCTACAGCAAACTCTCTCCTATCTGCATACCCTTAGCTCAGACTCCTGGCCCCTTTGACATCTCCCCCATCCTGACTCTGCTCATCCCTGCCATGGATAAATTATTATGAAATTAAGGACACTTAGATCCTAAATGTGGATGTGATGAATGGGCACCTACTTGCTGAGCCTCTGGGTCTCCCAAAGCTCTCTTGGATTCAAAATGCTTTCTGTACTGTCCTACCATAAAGTCTATAATTTCTTAGACTAAAGCTTTGCTCATGTTCAATGAGAAACCCTCATCAAGAGGAATATTGTCATGGCTATCAACTTCTAGAATTTTGTAAAGAATTAATTTATCATTTGTAGCAGAGATCTCATATGTGGACACATGACCCAAGCCTAATCCATGAGTTTCAAACCTGAGCTACAACTCACTGCTGGAAACCTTGGAAAAGTAAACTCCCTTTCCACTGGGCCCTAAGCTAGTAGAATATATGTCAGGAGTTTCTGTTGACCACCTTGTTCCATTTGGGGAAAGCCTACCTGAGAATAAAGCCCATATAGAGAAAAACAGAGCCAAGAGATAGAAAGACAGATAGGGAAAGAGGGAGAGAGGAGGAGGAGATAAAGAGTGAGTCCCTGATGACATGATTTGGGGCCTTAGATTTACCTGAAATAGGAGAAACCCCTAAGATTTTCCGCTTCCACTTAGGGGATAATATAGCATCTATCCCAGCCTGTTCCATGGAGAGGGATGTGCTCATGAACCTCAGCAAGAGAATTTGAGAGAGATGGGGAAAAGCAAGCCTCTTTGGGGCACATGAAAGAACGTGTTCCTGTCTGCAGGGAAGGGAGCCATGTCCCCATTCTGGAGAGAAAACAGCCCTAGTGAAGTGCCACGAGGGGATGGATTGATGACAGTGCCAATGGAGATGGCAGCAGGGCCCAGCTGAGAGGGGATGCCCAGTGGGAAACTCCACAGACAATTGTATGTTGGCATTGCCAACACACAGAGCACTGTGCTCACAAGACGCCCCATGAAAGGCCTGGGAACAACCCAGACGTACAGCAACTGATGGATAGATGGATAAAATGTGTGATATCTATACAATATTTGGCAATAAAAAGGAATGAAGTACTGATTCCTGCTACTAAAGTACTGATTCAAATACTGATTCCAATATTATACTAAGTGAAAGATGCCAGTCCCAGAGGACCACATTTGTATGATTCTATTTCTCTGAAACATCCAGAATAGGCAAATCTATAGACAGAAAGTAGATTAGTGGTTGCCTAGGACTGAGAGAAGAGAGGGATTGCTGGGGGTGACAGCAAAGGAATACAAGACTTCTTTGAGGGTGATGAATGTTCTAAAATTGTGTAGTGGTTGGTTGTATGATTCTATAAATACACTAAAACCCATTGATTTGTATACTTGGTACGTGAATTACATCTCAATTGTGTTGTTAACAAAACAGCAAAAAAAGCAAGGCTCTTGAGGTTCCTGCCCAGTCTGTATGTGTGGTTGGGGTAAGGGCATGGGTTGGTCTCCAGAAAGCCAGGCTACATCAAGTGGCTGCTGGCATTCTGGAAGGCAGCCCTGCCTTCACACCTGGAGGAGAGAGATCTCACTCTGGGCAGGCACTCTAAGAGGAACTCCTCTGCCTCTCCTCCAGCCTCACCCTTCCATCTGGGACAGGGTCTATAGGACCCAGAGGGTGGACATGTGTGCCCATCCACACTCACACTTCCTTCTTCTAGCCCATACTCTGGGCATACTGGACCCTAGAATTCTGTGCCTAAAAGGCCCCAAATCTGTCTTTAGAACCTGCAGCAGTCTTCATGAGGTCCATCCTCCCACAAGCAGACTGAACTGCAGGTGGGTAGACAAGAGGTGTAATTGGAACCTGACTGTGTGGGCTGGAATGCCCAAATTAGGTCCCTCAAAGGTTGAGGCAGAGCTGA